CTCTCTCTCTCTCTCTCTCTCTCTCTCTCTCTCTCTCTCTCTCTCTCTCTCTCTCTCACACACACACACACACACACACACACGAGATACTGCATAGGTCGGAAATTAGATTGTGGTTGTTTTACTGCACATCAATGAATATGTAAATTGTGCTCCTGGGTGACAAATGTCGCTCAGACTTCACCCACACACTGGAGGAAGGAAAAGGAACTGTTGATTCACTAATACCAGTACGAGATATGATTGTATATTTGAGCACTGAACATATATTCATGATAAAACTTCATCTATCTTTCGGTGAAACATTATTGGGTGAAATCTAAAAATAATAGTACAAAACAGAGGATATCATACGATTGGGGCCAAAGCTTGGCTAAAACAAAAATCCTGAGAATTCTGCAGGTGGCTCTCTCTTTCTCTCTCTCTCTCTCTCTCTCTCTCTCTCTCTCTCTCTCTCTCTCTCTCTCTCTCTCTCTCTCTCCATTCTCTCTCTCTCTCTCTCTCTCTCTCTCTCTCTCTCTCTCTCTCTCTCTCTCTCTCTCTCTCTCTCTCTCCATTCTCTCTCTCTCTCTCTCTCTCTCTCTCTCTCTCTCTCTCTCTCTCTCTCTCTCTCTCTCTCTCTCTCTCTCTCTCTCTCTCTCTCTCTCTCTCTCTCTCTCTCTCTCTCTCTCTCTCTCTCTCTCTCTCTCCATTCTCTCTCTCTCTCTCTCTCTCTCTCTCTCTCTCTCTCTCTCTCTCTCTCTCTCTCTCTCTCTCTCTCTCTCTCTTTCTCTCTCTCTCTCTCTCTCTCTCTCTCTCCATTCTCTCTCTCTCTCTCTCTCTCTCTCTCTCTCTCTCTCTCTCTCTCTCTCTCTCTCTCTCTCTCTCTTTCTCTCTCTCTCTCTCTCTCTCTCTCAAACTAAACCTTTAAACTAAACTTCTCTCTCTCTCTTTCTCTCTCTATCTCTTTGTCTGTATATCTATCTATCTAGCTATCCGTCTGGTTGTCTATTGTCTATCTATCTATCAGCTTATCTGTCTATCTGTCCACCTATCTATCTATCTATCTATTTATTTTTCTATCATCTATCTATCACTCTCTTTGTCTATCTGCCTATTTCTCACTTTTAGCATTTCACTTGCAATGATTGTCCGGCGCAGTGCGAGACCCACTCGACCACAGCAGTTCCAGCTGATCGCTTCGACACTGATGAGAAAGCTGTTTATGATACAATACTTTTTAATGTACTTATCTGTGTTTTTATATACGCTATATTTATATATTATTATTCATCTATTCGTGAAATTTCTCTCTGTGATGATTATGGTAATTTTCAGTTCAGGAAAACATTTGCCTTTCCAAAGATAGCTTACAGGACAACTATTCTGCCTTGTGTGTCTTCAGGCAACATTCACATTTCAGTACAATTTATGTATATATAAGTGATCTGCCACCTCAAGCTACAAACTCTATGTTTTAAACCTGTTTCGAAACCTTTATTGTATTAATTCCTAGAGTCTTTGCATGGTCAGATCACACAAATGGATGGTTGTATACAGAGACAATTGTTTTCATGATTAAGTTATATTCTTTCCAGATATATTCTCCGCTTTAGTGTCTGTTTGTGGTTTCATTTGCAGTTTCAGTGTATGCGTAAATAGGATCCGTAGATATTCTGAAGATGGATGTACTTAGTTTCAGAATTCTCCTCTCCCGTTGTCCCTCTCGGCGCCCCGCATCTGGACTCCTCTGTGTATGCTATAACTAACCTCTCTTTTCCCTCTAATCTCCCGCGTCCTCTCCTCCCTCGGCCGCCGGTAGTCTCGCTTCCAGACAACCGCTATTGTGAGTATTGCTCACACTGTTGTACTTTACCCCTTTAGTTGCCTCCTTAGCCTCTGCGACACTCAGACTTGATATCTAGCTCAAACCTTCCACAAGCGCCACTTTTTGTAGTGTCTTGCAGGTATTCGGGCTCTCAGGCTAGTCTTGCCTCCAAATTTGTAAAGTGTAATAACTGGTTACGTGTTCTCTCAGAGCAGGCACATCTTCCTGCAGGACTGTGACCTCTCATCAATTAAGTCATAATTTGAAAACTTTAAATATTTTTATAGGTTTAGTTCCATTCTGATTAGGATTATATAGTAAGCTTTGATATACATGAGCTGATACATTCATTGCTATAGATTTATATCACATTTTGCCCAAGTAATTAAGATAATATTTATGTTTTTGCTAACGAACTAAGCCATGAGAAAACTTCAGCTTGAAGGTATGAAATGAACATAATTGACGAACTCCTGATACCGAGAGTCCTACTGCCTCGGCGGGTAATGAAGCCACCCTCACTCTCTGCCGCAGGTCAACATGAGTCCCGGCCTCAACTACACCTTCCGAGTGCTGGCCTTCAACCGCGTGGGTATGTCGGAGCCCAGCGAGGACACGGCCGAGTGCTCGGCGCCGGGCCTGCCGCCGGACTTCCACCCCGAGAACGTCACCGTGACCGGGCCCGCCCCCGGCACCCTGCACATCTCCTGGGAGGTAAAGACGCCCGAGGTGGCTGTGTCTGATGATGTTTGGGGGAACGATATTATCTTTTTTCTATTCGGATTAATCTCACTCCTTTTGAAGCTTACGGATTATGGTTCGGAAAACATAAGCAGAGTACGAGGCGCACAATCGAACCTCCTAAAACCCGACAGGAAATGGAGCCCGAGGACCACAACGGCCCCGACTTCCAGTATAAGGTGTCTTGGCGTGCTCTTGATGACGACGACGATGACGACGATGCCGACGGGGACGACGGAAACACGACCGTTGCCGAGGAGGATGAGGACGAGGACGGCTGGCACACGAAGATGATCGAGGATTGGGAAGAGGTACACTGAATGCGCAAAAGATGCCGATATATATGCCTATCCGTATCCATGTCTATATCTGTATCTACGTGTACGTATATATCTGTATCTGTATCTGTTAGTCCATGTATCTATATGAATATATATATATATATATATATATATATATATATATATATATATATATATATATATATATATATATATACATACATATATATATATATATGTGTGTATATATATATATATATATATATATATATATATATATATATATATATATATATATATATATATATACATATATATATATATATATATATATATATATATATATATATATATATATATATATATATAAATATATATATATATATATATATATATATATATATATATATATATATATATATATATATATATATACATATATATACATATATATATATATATATATATATATATATATATATATATATATATATATATATATATATATATATATATATATACATATATAGATATAGATATAGATATAGATATAGATATAGATATAGAGCAACGACTGTGGGCCAAATGCCATATCAAACTCCGTCCTTGCAGTCGGAGCTGGAGCTGGAGAACCTGCCGCCCTACCAGGAGTACGAGGTGAAGGTGGAGGCGCGTAACTCCTACGGCGAGGCCCTTGAAGAAGCCGACGTCATAACAGGCTTCTCTGGCCAGGACGGTGAGTAGGCTACACAATGTGATTTTCATTGCCGTACGATTGGAATGCAATAAGTCGGATATAAAGCGACTGGCCTGCAATGTCCGGATAGCTGTGGTGAACTGGTCCAAAAGAGAAACAGAGTCACCCTTCCACAGAGCCCGAAGACGCGCCCGCGAAGGTCAGGGTTGCCGACGCTGACGCAACTGATGTTGTTCTCACTTGGAAGCCTATTGACGAAGATTCCCTGAACGGCCCTCTCCTTGGCTATAAGGTTGGTCGCTGCTTTAACTTCATGTTTGTATTTTGATCCAGTTAAGGTACAGGGCGGTCTTATTTTACTGTGTTAAGAATGCCAGACACCTTCAATGGGATTTTGTAAATCACATGAATCGTCGACATACTGCAGTCGCCTATTCCTCCTCCAGGTGGAGTACTGGGAGGAGTCAGACGACAGTGACCCGGAGGAGATCCTGACGACTGGTCCTGTAGCCCGCGCCGAGCTCACGGGTCTCCGCCCCTTCACCACCTACCACGCCCGCATCAGCGTTGCCAACACAGAGTACACGGGGCCGTTCAGCGACACAGTGGAATTCATGACTGCTGAAGGAGGTCTGGGCTGAAACCAACGATCCTCTTTTGGAATAGATTTCTAAATCCTTCATCCTCTATCAATTTCAATTACTGATTGGTAAAACCAGGACCCTGGCTCATTGTAGAACATTAGGAATTCTTAATTTCAAGAAATACATGTAGGAATAACTTCTGCAGACGCTGGTCCAGTCTCTGACCTGGAGGTGCGAGCAATGGGCGCTGACAGTCTGGTCGTGAGGTGGGACGCTCCTGACGATCCTCAGGGCGTAATCCTCGGATACGAAGTCAGGTACCAGAAAGTAGACGAGGACGGGGAGGAGGAGTGGGAGCACTACGAGGAGGACATCCCCGCCTCCACTAGGATGGTCAAGCTCGCCGACTTAGAGGAGGACGCCAGCTATGAGGTCAGCGTCGTTGCCGTGAACGGAGCCGGAGAAGGTGAATGGTGAGTATTGGCATCAGGCTTTGTGACTTTTTGGGCATATATGGATTTTAAGCTACTGTATGAATAGTGACTTTTATGTTTAACTGGAATTAAAGAAGATATGTGACAGATAAATTATGTGATTTTGTTTTGATCACAATTAAACTTATACCAAGTATACCAGGTGCATTTATTCATATAAATGTTATGGACATGTTTCACTACTTTTTTTTCTTTTTTGTTTTAATACGATGCAATGTGAACATGAACTGCACTTTACAGTGTTCTGAAAATGTAACTTCTTTCTAGGACATCTTCCACGGTTGACCTGGAAGCATCTGAACCACAGGTGCCAGCTGTGCCTGTATTCAGCTGGTCTTTCCAGAAGGAAGTCGAGGAGGACCACACAGACAGAGACGGGGACGGCGATGTGGACGA